CGTTCGCAGTGAAAGTCACCCATTCAATACGGTTTTGGAAGCGGGTCTGCTACATATAATTGTGCGCCACTACATGTATACAAAACTATAGTTTGTATACAAACCCCAAGATCTATTGCCCCACAGCCTTCCCAAAATGGTAATCTGTCAGTTACAGTTACAGTTACATTGCATTGCATCGTCAGATCTCATCAGTTATTTCTACTTACCCGCCCATTCGATCAGCAATGTCTCAAACATCTTATAAGGAGTGGCTTGAAGCGACCATTCGTGAAGGTTTGATTTATTGCTGCTCAGAGAATGACTTAGAACTGGACCCTTTATATATTGGCCATGGAGCATTTGGAGTGGTATGCAAGGCAACGGTAAGCAGGAAACTGGCATCGCCGGCAACATTTTCTCCGATAATACTGTTGCAGTGAAGATTTTACGTCTCGACAGGCATGGTGATTGTGAAGAAGATTTACATCAACAATTTGTTAAAGAGGTTGTCTATTATTATCCCATTCTCATTATGCTTTCACATCTATTTGTGCAGAGACTAATTCTTGAATGAATACTATACGCTAGTTAAAATGTCATAACAAAGCGAACAATCATCCTAACATTGTCCGTTTTCTGGGTCTATACAAAGGTATGTTGACAATGTACAATCTATTTACTTGTTACTTGCGAATTGCTTCTTAACGCTATCGTATTTTCAACGCGACATATACAGACAGAAATGAGAATTATAATATGATGTTTGAACTCGCTGACGGAGGGAATTTGCGTGAGTACTTAAGGACACACTTTAAAACTTTGACTTGGAAAGACAAATACAAGCTGGGCTTGGAAGTCACCAATGGGCTAAAACATTTACATGATCTTGATATTATTCATAAGGATTTGGTATTTATCACACAGCCCACATTCTGATTTATTTTTTGACTCGTATCTACGTTAAGCTGATGTATGCGTTTGTTTTCCAGTCATCAAGTAATATCCTTATCAAATCAAACGTTGCAAAGATAACTGATTTCGGGTTATCGAGTGTGTTGAAACAAGCGATGTCCAAATCACATGGAGACGGCGCTCCAGCATACAAAGATCCGCTGTCTTTGAAAGGCAATTCATATCAACGTGGAAAAAGATCTGACGTATTTAGTCTTGGTGTGATACTATGGGAAATATCCAGTGGCAAAGACCCATGCGGAGGACTTACCGAAGCTGTTAAAATTATTATGTATAGGCTTGACGGCTCCCGTGATTCTCCATTTCCTGGAACACTTGAAGAATATATTAGCTTGTATTCAGATTGTTGGGATGAAGATCCTAGTAAGCGACCATTGTGTGCTAACATTTATACGAGATTGGAGAATTGTTCTCAAATAGACGATCTTAATAAGTCATTGGAGGCTGAGCCGAACAATGCGTGGGCATTGAATCAAAGAGGAAGTGTCTATCGAAATCTAAAGCAATACGACAAATCACTAATTGATCTCAACAAGTCGTTAGAGATTGAACCAAACGATGCGTGGGCATTGAGAGAAAGGGGAGGTGTCTATCTAGAGCTAGAACAACGCGGTAAATCACTGGATGATTTCAACAAATCGCTAGAGATCGAACCTAACAATGCGTGGGCATTGAATCAAAGAGGAAGTGTCTATCGAAATCTAAAGCAATACGATATATCACTAATTGATCTCAACAAATCGTTAGAGATTAAATCAAACGATGCGTGGGCACTGAGAGAAAGGGGAGGTGTTTATTTAGATCTAAAAAAATATGACAGTGCACTAAACGATCTCAACAAATCGTTAGAGATTGAACCAAACAATGCGTGGGCATTGAGACATAGGGGAGGCGTCTATCTAGATCAAAAAAAATACGACAACGCACTAAACGATCTCAACAAATCATTAGAGATTGAGCCAAACAATGCGTGGGCATTGAGACATAGGGGAGGCGTCTATCTAGATCTAAAAAAATACGACAACGCACTCAACGATTTCGACAAATCGTTAGAGATTGAGCCAAATAATGCGTGGACATTGAGGCATAGAGGAGGTGTCTATCTAAATCTAAGGCAATGGGACAAGTCACTAATTGATCTCAACAAGTCGTTAGAGTTTGAACCAAATAATGCGACGGCATTGCGTCGAAGAGGAAGTGTCTATCTAAGCCTAAAACAATACAGCAATGCATTAATTGATCTCGACAATTCGTTAAAACTTGAACCGAACAATGCGTCGGCATTGCGCCGAAGGGGAGGTCTCTATCGAAATTTAAAACAATACGTCAATTCACTAAAAGATTTTAACAAATCGTTAAGGATTGAACCAAACAATGCGACGGCATTGAGTCGAAGAGGAGATGTCTATCGAAATCTAAAGCAATACGACAATGCGCTGAATGATTTCAACAAATCGTTAGAGATTGAACCAAACAATGCGTGGGTTTTGAGAGAAAGGGGAGTTGTCTATCTAGAGCTCAAGCAATACAACGATGCACTAATTGATTTCAATAAATCGCTAGAGATTCAACCAAATGATGCGTCGGCATTGAGTTTAAGCGGATGTGCCTATTTCAATCTAAAACAAGACGACAATTCACTAATTGATCTTAACAAATCATTAGAGATTGAACCAGACGACGCGTGGGTGTTGCGTCTAAGAGGAAGTGTATATCGAAATCTAAAACAGTATGACAATTCACTCATTGATCTTAACGAATCATTAGAGATTGAACCAGACGATGCGTGGGCATTGAGAGAAAGAGGGTGTGTCCATCTAGAACTAAACCAATACGAATATTCGCTGAATGATTTCAACAAATCATTAGTGATTGAACCAAACAATGCGTGGGCATTGAGTCGAAGGGGAGGTGTCTATCTGGAACTAAAACAATATGACGATTCACTCATTGATCTCAACAGAGCGTTGGCGATTGAACCAAACGATGCATCAGCATTACGTCAAAGAGGACGTGTCTATCTAAATCTAAAACAGTACGATAATGCGCTAATTGATCTCAACAGATCATTAGAGATTGAACCAAACGATGCGTGGGCATTGAGTCGAAGAGGAGATGTCTATCGAAATTTAAAACAATACGACAAGTCACTTAATGATCTCAACAAGTCGTTAGAGATTGACCCACACGACGCATGGGCATCTGGTGCGAGAGGAGGCGTTTATTTAGATTTAAAGCAGTATGACACTTCAATAATTGATCTCAACAAATCGTTAGAGGTTGAACCAAATGATGCGTGGGCGTTGAAAATAAGGGGAGTTGTCTACCTAAAGCTAAGGCAATACGACAAGTCGCTAATTGATCTCAACAAATCGTTAGAGATTGAACCAAATGATGCGTCGACGTTGAGTCGAAGAGGATGTTTCTATCTACATCTAAGACAGTACGGTAAAGCACTAATGGATCTCAATAAATCGTTAGAGGTTGAACCAGACGATGTGTCGGCGTTGAGTTTAAGGGCTAACGTTTATACGATACTTGAACAGTATGACGATGCGCTGAACGATGTTGACAAAGCATTGGAAGTCGAAAAAGATTATGTGGTTGCGTTGTCCGTAAGAGGCTATCTTTATAGTGAACTCCAACTGTATGAGCGTGCATTAAGCGATGCCAGCAAAGCAATAGAAATTGAGCCGAATGATGAATACGCTTTGAGCGTGCGGGGACATGTTTATTGTAAACTTGAGCAATACGAAAACGCCTTGAGCGATCTGGACAAATCATTGGAGATCGATCCGAGCAATGAGTGGACGTTATTGTTCAGAGGCGAGACGTATTACATGTTGAAACAGTATGACCGCGCGTTAATGGATCTGAATAAATCACTGGAGACTTATCACAACCGAGTCGGCACATCGGCTATACGGGGAAACGTGCATCTCGATTTAGAAGAATATGGCAGTTCATTAAATGATTTCAATAAGGCGCTATCGATAGATGCGGCGCGTACATTACAAATACAGGAAAAATTCTGTTTCGATCTCGAAGAATACCGTAACGCATTGACCGATCTCAATAATTCATTAGAGAGTGAACAAAGTAATGCGCCTACGTTACGAATAAGTCAGTTTTACAAGATGCTCAAATGTGGTATAAGAAATAACGCGGACGTTTGAGAAATTACTTGCAAATAGTGTTTGATAATGTGTTTTTTTTTTTTCATTTCCATGTAAACTAGTAAAGAAAAGGACTTTGGCTTTGAATAGATTTAATATTGACGGGTCTGCAATGTAAAAAATAAATACATAAATAAAACTGTTGGTATTTTTAATTTGACAATCGACAAACGTAGTACGGCATGTGTATAGATTTAGTTAGCACGATACGAACAAGCGCAATGTTTGCTTAGCACACGAACGTTATAGTTATGGTGATCGATTAGGTTTCGTTCCAGTGATAGTATGACGACCTACTTGTTAGGAAACCAAATTTATTATGTCATTGCGGGCTTGCCATTACATACCCATCCCGTGATCTCTGATCTCCTACGTCCGCAGTAAATAGAGATGACGGCGTAGATCTTGTTCACACGCACAAGATTCTATCCGCAGACCCGCAGCATATCTTATCAGATCATTGTATGTTCTGTTGACTCCAATTTCTTCAGAACTTTTCATAGTCAGCTGGATCTAATGACTGGCAGAGCTTATAACGGACACGGGTGTTAGAGAAACCATCCATAAAAAGTGCTTGATTTACAGTATATTTGGTGATAACATACTTACTGCCTTGCGGGGGGGAGATTTTTGCCTCTCGTCGATCCATACATTACAACGTGTACTTTAACCAAATAAAGAAATATAATAGATGGAACGATCGGATAAAAACGGGTTGACAGCATGGAAATTGCGTAATAGAAATAACCTTAATGTTATATATAAAGCCATGGATGGTAACCGCAGAAAACAATCACGAGAGCGTGTAGCTTGTTCTCTTTAACATCATCCAACACCTTTACGACACAAATTTCAAAGAGGAAAGAAAAGATGTTTCAAGTATCTCCCATTGCCGTAGGTCGGTATAATTCTCGGTGAAAGGAAAAAAGAATGTTTACTACAACTCGACTCTTTTTGACACTTATCACCACTACCACTACACTACCCATATCGTTCGTTCGTTCATTAGTTGCTGGTAGTCTTGCCAGGTTTGCCGCAGGTGGTATAATCTTTAGTCTTCTCTTTGGTGAACGATTGCATGCAGCTATGACTCAAGAAAAGGGTGCGGGTGCGGGTACGGAGAAATGCAAGCAGGCTGAATGTTGTTCAAAGTGAGTACGACCGATCAAGAATATGATGGTGAAAATGTACTTGGAAGAGGAAGAGTATTTACATGTGTCGTTATGCTTTTGACGTTTTTATAGACGTAATTTAGTCATCGAACTGTTGACGTGTGTTCTTCAGGTAAAGAAAGTATTAACAATGTGTGCTATGATCGATCGCTATATACACATCTTGTCGTAACCATGAATCACTCCTTGTCATCCCGTCCTCATCTTTATTATCTAGGCGTACGTTACTGGGGTGCTCCTCAATATTACCAAAACGGAGGATTCCAATGAAGCTGCTTTTCTCGGCTTGGTTCTGTTTGGCGGATGGATTGTTCCTTATGTTGTAAGCGGGCACATTTGGGACAACAGGTAAATACTGCATTGTAATCCTCGCCTCGTTGTGATGAATTAGTATGATAATAATGTTGGGAAAACGCATGGTTTATAACTTTTTTTCCTATCCGCCCACCAAAGACCGTTCCTCCTGGCAAAGCTTAAATTTCTTAAAGGGTTCTTGGATACTGTCGGACTCGCTGTACTGATGTTTACGATTGGAACCTACCAGTAAATTTATGTGAATTCGAGTCTGCTGTGCTAAATAGCGAAATAGCTGATGAAAGAGTGATGCCAATATTTGAAATGTCTTTCTATTTTACCTACAAAAGATTTAGTTTGTGATGATCGTATAACGATTTGATGATACCTATTCCATATATACATATTATATCAGACTTGAACAAATAAACATTTCTTCGTCACCACTACAGCTGGTTAGTTACATCATTGTCATATGAAAGCCAGTAACGAAAAAAGTAATTAATGAAATGACAACATTACATAAACTATCTCTAAACGCCATATCAACAAAAGAAGGAATTATTTATTAATATATAAAACAAATATACAATATACAACAACATTTAACACTAGTCAACAATTCCTCATGAAGCCCAAAGCTTTTCTTCCTCATAATATTCGTCTGCTTCTTTAATCTCTGCAACTTCGTACACCTTTCCCGTAATACTATTTCTAGCCGTCGCCTTTATTTCTGCCAATTCTATTCCAAACGACAATGACACCTCGATTACCCTATTAAGACCGTGTTGGACATCGGGTATGTCAACGACCCAATGTTTGAGTTTGTGAACGACGGTGTCATCGTCTGCGTCGTCCGGATCGTCCGTATCGGAATAATAGATACTCACGTTGGCTTTTTCTTGGTCGGGAAATAATGGTTTATAAACCTCCTTAAATGGTGTGGGGGGAGGAATACTTGACCCTTTGCTCGCAATAACAGAAAACACGTGCAAGTCCCCGCTGAGCATTATTAAGACGGGATGATTCAGCGTCTTTACGCCGAAATAATGTTTCAACACACGGGTTTTAATAATCTCGTCACAATTGAGGCCTACACAATATCAAGGGTTAGATTGGGCATGGGCATGCATATTTTTATACAGTTTCTAACTTACCGTAAAACCCTGCACCTTCGACAATGGATACTGTCGGTTTTGGTGATGGTGGTACAATAATCGATGGTATATGTTCCTTAAACTCTTCCCTTATCCTCGCTTGCAGATATGGAGATTCGCTGAGGATTACACAAAACAATTAGAACAACGGCATATAATTGGGAAAAGCAAAGGTACGTTATGATAAATCCTTGATAACATGTACCTGTAACCTCCGACCATGAGCAACGCTGCACATTTTTGAGGACTTAAATCGATTTGTTGCCTATATAGCAAAAGAGATGTCTCAACATTATTTGTTCAGATTGAACAATGTCTCTATTCGTTTACATACACTTACCTAATCAGGTCTATGATTTTGTTGACGCTGGAATCAAAAAAAGATTTTATGGTCTTGTAATCATGCTTAATTATCCATTCGTCCTCATCCAAAGCGTCTATTTTTTTTGGACTGGCATGTTTCTCAAGCGAAGGACAATCTCCCATAATATTGAGCTCGAATTCTTTAAAGTGCTCTTCATCGCCGTCGAACTTGTGTTTGATAGGTGCGAAAACATCATAAACCAAACACGGGATGGTTTTCAGTCTCAGGTTTTCCATTCTGTTCTTTTTGATGCCCAGCTGCTTTGCAAGAAAATTCAAAAATTTTCTGTCGACACTCGTACTGCCGCACGTTGCCCCCTTACTTATGGTCTTTTCGTCGATTTTGTTATCCGCGCGTATTCTATACGTGCTTAAGTCAACCGTACCGCCGCCACAGTCGGCAATTATGTAAGAGTCTAAGTGGTAGGAGAGAAAGGAGAGGAAGGGAATGATGTTCTGAACCGACGACGAAATTTTAATTAATTGTACGGAGATGATCTCTCTTACCGCCTGGTTTTAGATTATAATTTTCACGATCTTGGAGGCAGGAAATTGCCGCAGCTGCCGCTAAGATACGCATAAAAAATATCGAGATTAGCTATTATCAAGTGTTCCTATCCCGTACCCATAATCACACTTACGTTCTGGTAAGAATTGTAATTGTTCCGAGTCTTTTTCTAAGGTAAATCCGGCTTTATGCATGCAGTCGCGCATTACATCGTTGGATCCGAAACCCCTTTTTGAGGTAATGTTGCAAATGTTCAATAGTACGAATTCAAAAGGAAAAGAGGGGAGATGTATCGCCCACTCACCATTCTACAGGAACAGTTAGCGCGATACGAAATTCCTCTGGGAATTTGACTATTTCGGGAGAGACGGTTACGCAATACATGTTACGATTAACCATTGGTGTTAAAGCATTAAACTACATTACTATTAAGGAAACGTACCATCTCCAGCGTTATTGAATATTAATTCACGTCTATCGATTATTCGATCGATTTCCTAGCAAATCATTAGTCTTACTTAGAGTACAGAATATATCACATCTTATGGACTAAGCGTATACATACTTGTTTAATACAGGTCAGAAAATCTACAATTGCCTTTTGATAAGAGACACTTGGGGGCAATTTTGCCCTATAACTTTTCTTGTCAGATGACAAGTAAAGTTTAAACAATTCTGCAAAAAATATGTCATCCTTATATTGGCTTTTCAGCTTATTCACTTGAGATGAAGATGCGGCATCTAAACCCCAACAAAGAACCTTTCCATTGGAGTCGTAAATCAGGCGTGTTGGAATTTTATGTACGTATTTGCCCCTGATGAACAAATTTATTAGTCGATCGACCACTTTGTCTCAAGTCAGGAAAGTCAAATTAAGAAGGAGGTGCTACCAATTAGTATTAACGACTACTTTATCTTTCCTTTGCAATTGACCAAAAGCAATGCCCGAAAATGTTGTGCCAAAGTCTGAAAGATAATTTACAATTACTAATAGCTTGGGATACTCTGTAACGCACGCTCAGTATACACGTTACCGAGAGCGACCACATAACGAAGGTCTTCCTCGGAAAAAGACAATGCTCTTTCTTGATTGTCGTCGAAATCGCTCAGTAAAGCAGAATCAGAAAATGTTAACGTCCCCATTTGAATTCGAGAACAACTTTTTTGATGGTTCTTTTCGCATGTGGGCAATTTTATTTTGTTCTGTTTTGGTTTCTTTGTTTTGTTTGTTTGTTTATTTGCGAAAAAATATATCCATTAATCGTTAGGGGAAACTGAAAATATTGGCGCAATGGGGGATTAGTTCAGCATGACGTTATCTTGTAAACATGTGAGTGTGTGTGTTCATCATCCATTCACTTGTAAGTTAGCGTTTTTGTTATCATCAACAAGTTATTAGATATAAGGGATGTGATGTTCGCACATTCGTTCATAGTCTCTGCATGTAAATGTAGTAGACTGAAGGATTGGTCTAGATGTTTCGAGGAAAACAGTATCGTCTGATTTGTATCCAATAGACTTTCAATAAGATATCAGCAATGATCAACAATTACACGTTTGTTTATTTGGGCGTTAGAATATTTCAGGTGATTGTGAGTGGTAACGGCATTGTTGTGGAAATATGGTTTGGTTTTATTTGCGATAATAAGAGCGTACACACATTTAAGTCTGAAATAGCGGTAGCCCGGGCCGATTATGGGTGCACTTACGCAATTGAATTTATCCAGATTAGTATTAGTCTGTCATCCAAAAAGGTACTAGTTTTTTAGAAACAGTACACCTTGAAACAGACAGATAGTCGCAAGGTATATTTTATTATCACAGCAAAATTTTTGCGTAACGGGTAGCCGAAACGCCTACAAATTAGTGTTTATTCGATCTTTTCTATTAGTTCGTAACAAAAGTCTAACACTAATGTATGACGAGTTGGGATACGTCCTCCTTTATTATTTTCCTTAACAGATCCGCAACAACGTTTAACAGATTTGTAACCAAGAGTCACAGCTAAGATCAACATTAAAAATTATTGACTTTGTCATTTATATAAATGAGCCTCTGGAATGCCTTTACCAAGATTTTGAACACTTCAATTGACCTCAGCTAAACGTCGAATAATAACCAAAATTTGCCAACGCATTGGAAACAATGGCCTCCAAATCAACAATCCTCTTTATTTGCGCTTTGATTTACTTGTTATGCTACGTCGGCGCAGTGCCAGCGGGAGAACTCAAGTCTTTTGCCGGTAAGTATTAGAAGAGACAAGAGAATTGATTCTCAGGTATACTTGTAAGAATGCCACTTGACTCAAAAACTCTTTTTGTTCGTGTATTTTGTAGTCAAAGCAAGAAACGTTGAAAGGTTTAATCCACAACCAGATCCTCCACATGAACGAGTAAAAAGGTTTAATCCACAACCAGATCCTCCACATGAACGAGTAAAAAGGTTTAATCCACAACCAGACCCTCCACTTAATTGACGTACCAAAAAACATGAGCGATGCGGCAATAATTGAGTCTTTTTCCTGTAATCATTTTCCTATTAGTGTTAACGAAAACACTGCAAGATTATAATATAATAAATAATTACAATTGTTTCGTGGTGTTTATTACTTTATTCAAACTATTGTAACATTACTGTTTTATTTCTTGCAATTATGGACAGTCGGAAAGCAGATATTTTGCCTATATTTACTAACGTCGATATAGTAGATTTCTAGCTGTAATAAGTTTCTCAAATAACACAAGTTAGTATACACCAAAAGCTGTGCACACCTGCGTCGTAATGTTCGAGCACTACGTAATTTTAAACCAATACTCAATTGATAAAGTTGAAGACGTTTTAAAAAAAATTGCCGTAAAACTTTTAACTTACAATCATGTTCGAATGTGTAATTATTCTTTCGATCGCATGAGTGCAGTTTTTCTTGGGTAATAATATTTACCTATCAGTAAGAAGAATGGTCAGAATGAGCGTTCGTTCTTTATTATCGCATTGCATGGTTGTTACACGTGTTATGTAATGTAATACTGTAATATAACAAACAATCGCTGTGCTTCGTCCTTGCAGATCATTTAATTCGAAATAGACGATTGTTGTCCAATGAAATGTGATAGTTCACATATTCTTTATTGTTTCGACCAATAAAGGGAAACTGCACATAAAATAAAAGTGGATTAAGAAAATATAGTCAAGTTTATCGATGCATGTTAAATTATATGGATTTAAAAGTACGGGTAAATTATGCTGCTCAAAAAGAAAGTGCATAGACTAAGAGCAAATCAGTTCGATTACTTTATTGCACGGGAGGTTCGAGAGCTGTGAATAAAAAGTATGTGTCGTTTAATATGCCACATTCATGTCGAATTTTTCTTTGTTAAAAATTTGAAATGTTATGGACGAATGTTGTAGTAAAGCATTTATAATAATAAACTGAATTAATCAAACAAAAAAAATTTCAGAATTTCATATTCTTAGTAATTACTTTTTCTATAAGACTGATGTATTTACTTATTGCCGTGTTAGTACTGTACACGTATACTATCTACAAAAACAATACGTTGCGTTGGCACTACGGATTTATTGTTTAGAGGGTCTCTGACATTACTCGATGATCAAATTATGTAACTCTACAGATTTATACTGAAAATAATTATCATTGTTTGCTATCGTTTACGTTTGCTGTCACTACATTTTAATATAACTATGACCAGATCAAGTTTTAGATGCGTGGTACGCACATATAGATATAATTTTATCCTCTGGTAAAAATTTGCATAGTTTTCCAATGTTTGGGCATGGAACGTTTTCTGCAACCCAATCATAATATTGATCGTGAGAACGAAAGATTTTTAACACGGGCCGCCCGCTAAATCTGATGGTTACCAACTTGTGTTACCTTTTCGGGCCGGCATATAAATTTAATATTACACCACATACTCATACACTTTTAGAATTATTGTAAATCTGTAAAATATAATTTTACACCAAAAATTAAGGAATAGTAGTAACTTACAATCGTACTATTGTGTCAATCTGTTTACTATGTAATCGACTAATGGGTTGGAATACGCATATTTAAATATTACGAACATTTTTACTTGAGAACTGTTTAAAGTGAATTAATAATAGGGTAAGTAACACGGCGCTGGCCATCATGATACATTTATCAAAAAACTTTGAATTCCAAAAACGTATGTCGTCATTATAGTAAAAGCTTTAGAATTTTCACATAAATCTTACAATATTCTCACCGTCAAATAGTAGCATATCCCGCAAAATTAAAGGTACTATTTAAATTTACAACTGTTGTAAAGAGTTTACATTAAAGTTTTCCGCAATAATTCCAATAGAGAAGGATTTCCCGTTATAACTGCGATTGAATGAAATGGCTAAACTGAGTCTCATGTATACTTGTATCATAATCATCCATAAGTGCGCGCACGTGAAACTTTACCCGAGATTTCTCAAATACAAATTAATTGCGATGTTAGCGTGCTCATTAGATAATTGAAAGAGTCTTTAACAGGCCAATGTCTTAACCGAGTTTCTTGTGTAAATAGATGCTAGTTTATTATGAAAAATAACACATGCCCTTCTTTATCGGCGCAAAGAAGAAAAAAGCAAGCGCTAGAATACAATTGAGAATGAGTCAAAATATTGTTAACCCCATTTCGATTTTGCAAAACGTGACAATCTACAGAACATATGTTTATCATATTAGTACACACATAGCATATAATTCACAATGCTTATTTAATAAACCTTTTGGTATTAAATGTATGAGCGAGCGAATCGTTTACTTTAATAATATAGAATTAAAGCAAATGTTATTTGATTGTTATTATTATAAACCGAGTTTGTTAACAACATTTGATGTTTACGTGCATAGATATAGGCCAACGTCTACAACGTCAAGTAAAAAAAAAAACAGACTTGTTATACGCATTTGGTATATAGTCACTGCTACAGTGATAAAAATGTTTCCGGAGATTATCACGGTTTGCAAAAAAATCGAAATGCGCCGGCCTGCTTCAGGATCCGAAATGGGTCAATAATTTTTTTGACCCATTACTAGATCCCAAACTAAAACACAGCAGAAAATTACGCTAACCGAACGTCATAGACACATTGATCTAATTTATCAAAGTTACGGCCTTGTATGTTTTGTGATAACATGCGTGTCATAATTTATGCTTACTATATTTCTTTGATATGTGTACCCAGGGTACTCGTGTAGGGAATATGAATCGTATTAATAATAGTGGGTACATATCTCGATGTTGTTTTTTTTACATAATCGGTGTAAATAGAATTTTTGCATTGACTGTTGCGACATCCACTATTATACTTACTACTGTTGTCAAAGTCATAAAAAAATTGTCATCTTGTCTAAAATCAGCTAATTACGTAAATTTTTAATTGTAATGACTTAAAGCAGCATTTTATCAAATACTGGACACACGTAGCAACTGATAGGTTGTCTACTCGGTGGAGGCTCAAATTGAGTTTGTTTCACAAAAAGAGAATGGCAATAGCTCTTGAGGAATATGAGTTTATTGCCCGTGTAATATCATCAGTAAGCAGTAGAATAAACTAAGATTTAATTCTTACAGGAGTGTCACATTTTCTGCTTTCTCGCATTTCCAGGGTTTTTTCTGCATTCTTGGCATAAAGTGCACTAATCGCTCTATATCTATAGCAATATCCAGTAGCATTACATTATTGGCCGACGCATCATCCAGCCGGTGCTGAAATTGAAAGTATGTTTTACTGTCCATTCAAACGTTGCTAGTTTTATTTATAACTTTAAATGATTAGTTCCGTTCCCAATGTTTACTTTTATATAATTTTTTATATTTTCTAATACTCTGCCCAGAAAAGGCACTCATTCACATTGACATATATAGAAGTACGTCGTATAATTCGAACCATTGAATAAAATTCATATAATAATAATAATAAACTGTAATAAACCGTAAATTACGAGTTTATTCAAAAAGAGTTTGAGTTCCTAAATTATAAGAAATAAAAGCGTTAAAATTGTAATACCTGTAAATTGACTTTATTTGTACCAGGTGCGTAACATACCTGCAGCTGAATCCAAATTATAGCTATTTCGCGGTTTGGGCAAATCCCCTGTATGTAAGAGTTTACTAGAGTATTTACTCTCCTTCTCAAGACGCGATAATGGTTTTAAATCATTATGATAAACGGCATTCCACACGCTGTCATCAGATTTATCCTTTTCCACATCTTCAATAAGCATCCTACTATCATTCCAAAGTGTCTTTGCATCAGGACGCTTATCAGGATCAGCATCACAACACCGCTCGGCAAGTTTCTTGTATTCCTCTGGCGCAGAATCAGGCATCGATGGTCGCAGTCCCTCACAAACACGTATCGCCAAACATTTGTCAAACGACCAATCTCTAAATGGTGGTTCACCAGTAGCGATCAAATACATAATGATACCAAATGAATACACATCCGATTCCTGAGTAAATTTGCTGGTATGGAAGACTTCGGGTGCAATAAATGGCAAAACGCCTCGAATTGTTGAATTTGACTCGCGTGAATTTACTGATTGTGAAAGACCAAGATCGCATATGAATGGTTGTATATATTCATAATGCGCATCGTCACTATTATGCATAACAATGTTTCCGCCATGAAGATCACAGTGTACTAATCCCGCATCATGAATAGTATACAAATCATATGCAATATCCATCAAACTCTCTAATTTATCCAACCACGACAATTTGTTAATATTTTGAACCAAATAAGACAAAAGACTGCCATGGTTAGCATATTGCATAACAATTAAGTACTCTTTTGTCTCTGGGTCTTGTGTCACTCCATGAAGTTCAAGGAATCCATCGCCTGTATATTCGTATAAACACTTTGCATGATTTTTGAACTATTAAATAAAAAAATACAACGGTTAAATTAAATATCACTTTAATCAATACTATCAAGTTATTGCTTACCTCTAGAACAAATAATTCCGAAGTCTGATCAAAATTCTTATCATTATATCGTTTTAACACAACAGTTTCCTCCTTCATACGTTCTACTTCCGAATACTTTTTATACTTGGCAGTATAAACAGTTCCGTAACCACCAACTCCGATCTCTTTGAGTTCATCAAAGTCGCTATACTGCATGTATTTAAAACGTTCAATGTTGCGTACGAAACTGTCCAGTATTGCGTATACATCGTAATAGAAAACCAAATAATATTCCCGAGTAGATGGCTCCTGGGTGATTCCGATTATCCAGATATTGTCGGGTGTTAATATTGTCGGGTATTCCTTCGTTAACTATTTTAAGTAAACAGAGTACAATGTCATAACACCGCTCAATTTAAACGCATGATACGCATTTATCGATTGCATTGTTTTACACGTAAAATAATTTACCTGATAAAAATCCTCGTCAACTATTTTTTTGAGTGTTACACGAGTCAATTCATTC